AGGAGGAGGGTGTGATCCGTGCGGAGCTCAGGGGCAGAGTGTTTAACTCCACCTGGGATGGCCCAAGAGAGGAGGGGACACCTGAGCTTTCTTTCTTCACTTAGTTATTCCACAACCATCCATCACCCCTCTATGATAAGTACTAGGGACAGGAAATACTAAGACATAGTGCCTGTTCTCAAGTAGCTTACTGTTGATCTTCATAATTTACAGATTCCATATTTGCAAAAACACCTACTCCCTAAAATTTATTTGTAACTCCAAAATCAATTACTCGTGGCACTTTTAGTCGTTTTAGACATGCACAGAGGAGGCAAGTTTTGAATCCCTCTACACCCACCCATTCCCTGAAGTCAAATAAGGCTACACTCTGCTTTCTTGTTGCAGCTCTCATAGTGTAACCAAGTATTCTTTTCACAGTCTTTTTAATGACACATTTTTTTTTTGCATTTTTATACTTTCCTGTTGGTGATTTCACTATTTAAAATGGTCCCCAATGACATGGGTAAAGGTGGTCAAAAGTAGAAACTTCCAGTTACAAAATCAATACGTCCTAGGGATGTAATGTAAAGCATGGGGACTAGAGTTAACAATACTGTATTATATGCTCACAAGTTGCTAAGAGAGCTTCAAAGTTTTCATCACAAGAAAAATACTGTAACTGCATAGTGATGCATGTTAATGAACTTATTCTGGTCATCATTTCACAATATATACATGTATCAAATCATTATGTTATACATCTAAAACTAATACAATGTTATATACCAATTATATTTCAATTTTAAAAACACAATGAATAAAATGGCCCCTGGTGTAGTGCTGAAATGCAGGCTAGAGCTCTCACGAGGAGAAGGTTGTGATGTGCTCATGGACGAAACATGAGTGTTAGAGAAGTTTTTTTAAGTATGAGTTATAGTGCTGTTGGTCATGAGTTCAAAGTTAAGGAATCAATAATTCGATACATTTAGAAAAAGAAAGGAAATTCACTGATCTGTATGTGAGTCTTCTCTGGAAAGTGCTAAAGTAATATCTCTAGTACATGTTGAAGTTAAGAAAAAGTGGCTGAACTTATAAATTCATAAAATGACAACTGATTTAATAAAAAAACAAAACATAGTGGATAGTACTGTGAGGCTGAAAGCCAAAGATTTATGTCAGCATTACCCAGGGTCGGGATAATGTTAAACACGTTTCAACTAGTGTTTTATTATACAGAAATACTGCATATAATTAATTATTTATAAGAAATGTATATTAAATTAGGTTTCTTCAAATGGAAACACATATAAATCAAGTTTATGTATTGATCTACTGATACAAATGTTGTATCATACAGGAACCCACAGGAACCTAACCCTGTATTTCCCCTAGGAGCAATAGCTCAGTATTTGCTAATTTAACGTTTATTACAGACAGTTTATTACGGTGACTTTACAGAACATAAGTATCACACATAACAGAGACTCCATTATTTACGTAGTATAGCAAAGAGACAGGTAATCAACAATTGCTCTACAAAGTGATCAACATTAAGGCAGCCTCCCACACGGGGTTCTGGGGGACACCATGGCTATGATGAGGTGACTGGGTTCCACAATTAAATACCTTTTTTCCTGAAAGAACTTGTGAAAGAAAATTTTTTATTTTTGCTTTTTAAATTATTTGTTTACAAGTAACACTTAATTTACGATTAGCTATGATTTCTTCACAATCATCAGTCACACTAGGAAATCTTACAAAGTGAGAAAATCTAGCCAACAAGTCATTTTCAAATGCAATTAAAGTTTTATGAGTTAAAGTTTTAACAACTAATTAAGTATAGTGTTATTTGGTAGACAATTACATATATTTTATGGTAAATATCAATTTTGCCGTTTCTTATTTTGTAGCCAATATTTTTGTTGTTGTTGTTTCAACTTTTTCTTTTGGGTCCTGAAAAGTTCATATTCTCTTGTCACCAAGAGAAGACCCAGACTTTAGGGCCCCTAAAACTAATGCAATTCAGAGGTTTCTTTAAGAAAAATAATGTAAAATTACAAATACAAAATTGGGCCCTTTTGAAGAGGCACCCTTATTATTTAGGTTAATCTGTCTCTGATAGGCACTGCTGGATAAAACCTCCTCAGCAGAAGTCACTCTGGGTACGGGCGCACCAGGCAGGAAGCCATGGCAATAGTTCAGGAAAGAGTTAAGATGAAAAGTCTAAACTTGAGAACAGAAAGGATGGGAGAGATACAAGAGATAATCGAGAGGCCCATTTGACAGGACACGGCACTTGATGAAGATGTCAGTGAATGTCAAGAATGCATATGGCTGGGGTGACTTAACAAGTTAGAAAAGGGAATTAAGAAGAGGATATGGGTGGCTGGGTGGAGCATGTTTGAAAGGTAAATGGCTTCAGTTTTGGAAATAGCAAACCTGAGGTGCCTGTAGACCACCCTCGGGTACCACAGGGTACATTCCAGATGGCGACATATAGAAATCATTGTATGTACCGCTGGGGTTTGAGAGAGAAGGCAGACCAATATGCGTGGGACAGCTGAGGGAAGGGGAATGGTCGCTGGAGTTGATGAGATCTCCCAGGGAAGAGCATTAATTATGGAGGGATGCGTGATGGAGACAGCACCCTGAGGGATGCAAGCTTTTGGAATGAGGGATGGAAGGAAGAAGAAAGGAGCCTTTGTTTCTTCAAAACTTTTGCGTGTACCTGCAGGTGCCACATTCTGTGCACACTGCTGTGGGTTAGAGAAAGCTGAGTCCGGCACAGAGGTTGTCAGATGGTCTCGGGGTCAGGGAGACAGGAAGCTGCAGCTTGGAGGGTAGATTGGGTTTTCCAGATTAAGGAATCGATGAGCAACAGCACAAAACTAGAAAACCAGTAAAATAGTAAGGAGCTCATTCTGAGTAGAATATAGATATTGAGAGACAGAACAGTATAAACATGATAGATTAGAATTAAATGATGGGTGAGTTTGAAAGCCAAAATGTGAAGTTCAACAAGAGGAGCCTCTGATGGTTTTTGAGCAGAGGAATTATATGGTCAGAGCTGAAAATGATGATGGGGTCTCTAGCACATACGCATACAACTAGCATTGCAGAGATCAACACAGAGGCTCTTATAAAACCAACAAGAAGTATGGGGACCTGAACTCAGAGGGCCACCATAGAACTACAGAGGAGGGCATAAAAGCCAGTGATCACATATAGACGAACTTATGGGACTTGACTGACAGGTTCCATCAGTAGGTAAAGATGGAGTCCAGGTTTTGAGCCTCAAAGGCTGAGAGGCAAGTAAAACATTTTCTGAAATTGATCTGCAGAATATAAACCTGCAAACCCTTGTGCCCAGAGGGAAAATGACAGAACAATGTCACTGTGATTCTGCCTGCCTTTGACCTGCGCATGGGTTGTATTACGGCAGCCTCAGTTCACGAGGCTCCATACTGTAGGTTGATAGTGAGGTCAAGTCAGTTAAATTCCCACATTTCTCCATTTTACAGTCTGCTTTGTTGTTGTTGTTGTTGTTGTTTTTAATCCTAAACTAGAACTTGGTTTTCATTTGGTAGCATTTTACCTCATTGGATTTTGCCCAACATCTACCTTGGCTGAACTTGTTTTCAACTTTCCTTTGTCTTCCCTGAAGGTGGCTGCTTTGGTTTTATCTAGGAACCAGTCCAGCCTCTCATATTTATTAATACAGTGGAAGACTTAGGGCCTTTCTTAGAGTTCTCTGACACAGGTGACCTTGAGATAACTAGGAAGGTCAGCAAATAAGGATGGAGCAAGGGAAGGATGGAGGGATGGAGAGAATGTCTCCTCCCAGGTCCTAGGGACTGGCTCCTTGGTGACTGCCCTGCCAGGTCCTCTGAAAGACTCTCAAAGACTCCACTATAGGCCCCTTTGAAGCCCAGTTGGAACTGCCTAATGCTGCTCTTTCCTGGATCCACTGCTGGTGTTTAAAAGGCTGCTTTTAAAAGTTTCCTTTACCTTCCCCTTGGGGACTTAGCCACCTGCAGCCAGGACCAGCCACAAAATTTTCAGGGATTCTTATTCAAAAACTATTAGGAATTTCAAGACAGCAGTTATCAGAGCATTAAACCAAGTGCAGGCTCTTCTGGAGTATAGGGGCCCTGAGTGGCCTTAGAAGTCACACTCCCACGGAACCCTGCCAATGGTTAAGTGTCGGTGCTTCACAAAACGGGGATTTACTGCACACCTGTACTTCCTCCCGGGCGTGGACACACACATGCACCTGGCAGCATGCTCATCCCACCCTGCATGCCTTCCACCGGCCCATAAGAGTTCTTCCCCACCCACTGCCCCGTGGCGCCCAAGCCTGCTCCCACAGCTTCCCCAAGGATTCTCCTCCTTCGAGAAGGATCATCATTCTGTTCCTCCACTTAATTCACACCAACTCCTCGCCATCTCATCTCTGTCAGGCTTCAATAGAATCGACGTTGATCTGGGCGAGATTCGGAAATCCTAACTGGTCACAGGAATTACAACATGAGAACGTTGAAGGGATGTCTTTTGCTCAACACCACTGTCAAGATGCCATTCTAGTGCCGGGATAACCCAGGGAGTGGCTGACACCTGATGCTTTCTTTCTGCAGAGGAGGGTTCGGGACATGTTTACGTTTGCAAAATCCCACTTGACAATAGTTCTGCTCTTTAGCTGTATGACTGTTATGAGCTTTGTTTTTACCTAGATGAAGACACTGAAGCCCAGAGAAATTAAATGACTTTTCAAGGCCACACAGCTAGGGAATGACACAGTCAAAACTAGAACTCACCCCTTCTGAAGTCAGCCTGCTTTCCTCTGTACATGCTGGGGAGGAGCCTGGTCCACCCTTCTCACCATTACCTCTGTCACAGCGGGGCATTTTATTGAAGTAGCTTCCATTTGATGTGTATATAAAAGAATGACTATGATTTCTGCTTTCCTCCAAAGGTAATAACTGTCCACCTAATTTTTATTTCTTGTTCTGACTCTTCAGAGACAACCCTGCTACCCAGTTTAACCTCAAAACTCACACGAATTCCCGAGATCTGAAGACAGCCATAGAGAAGATCACCCAGAGAGGAGGACTGTCTAATGTAGGTATGTGACCTGGATTCGTTCTATCTTGCTACCTCGGTTCTCATTCACCGTGACTGTCTTCTAACATTATAAATAGGAGGATGAAATAATAATAATAATCCTTCCAGAAATGATTCACACAATGGCTGTGCCTTTTCTCAAGTATTATCATGGATTCAGGGGCAAGGACTGTTATCACACACGTGCTGGAGCATTCCAGCATGCCCAGTTCCCTGAAACGGCACCTTTCCCAGGACAAGCAGAGCTGCTATTGTTACTGCCTCCTGATTGGTCTACCAGGCACCAACTATTTAACATTAAACTTCATAACTGGTTTCATTCTGAAGCGTCACTTGGGAATCACATTCTAATCTGTTTCTGTTAAGCGATGACTGTGTCAAGGGAGACATGCTCTTTGCATCCACCTGTGAGTTCTGAGTCTAGAGAGAGGGGTATGCCAGGTATCTAAGTTCTAGTCCTCAGCCAGACAGGTCCAGAAACTCCACTTTATTAAGTTCACCCCGAGGGGAATGGGCATTAGGAAGCTGTTTCACACTAACCAAGCTTAAGGACCGCTGAGGAGCCCATGCCAATGTATTAATTTATAAATGGTGGTTTGGCTTTGGGAGCACAGGGAAGGCTCATTGAGGGCTGATCTGCCTGTTTCATCTTCTAAATCTCATTTAGGTATATCAATCCGTGAAGCTAACATAGGTCTGGAACTGTGGCTGCAGGAATCTCTAAAAAATGTAGTTTTCAGATCTCTAGCCTCTGTTTATCAAGACACACTGGAAGGTGCATGGAATGTCTGTTGAGCACTCATTGACCATGGTCCCCAAATTTAGGATTAGGTAAGGTCAATGTGATCTTATGGATCCCTGTGCTCTGCTTATGGGAACTTAACATTAAGCCAGAGGCTTTTGGGCCTTGAGGGAAACTATGCATTAGTTATGAAAACAGTTCTCAGCAACCAAGGTTTGCCCTTAGCAACTGTGTTCTACGCAACCAGCTCACATGGGATCTCCAAGACACTTCTCCAGCAACTGCATAGGTAACCAGTTGAACCTTTCCTTTGACAGGTAAAATTATACTAACCCAAGGAGCCAGGATGCTGGCCAAAACCAGAAAAGCACTCAATGTAATGACATTAATCATAACATCTTAGTACGGTGGTTCTTTTACGTAGATTGAGGACCCCCTTGAGAATCGCCTGAAAGCTATGACCCTTCTACCCAAATATGAAGGGGGACCCAAGAAAAACCAGAATTATCTTCTGGAAGGCGGGCCCTTTGTAGTACAGGCTTCCCCCACTAGGTGAGTGTTCTATGAACCCATCTGTATCAGCACACCAGCTGGCATTGTTGTGAGACACTGTGTTCAGCTTCAGTGATTTTTTTTTAAGACTCTTTCAAAGCATCTGCCCATTTCATGATGGGTGATTTACGAGCGCACCTGCCCACACCGCACTGAGTGTTCAGCAGTTTTTGACCAAAAACAACATGACCCCCATGTCCCACCCTCCCTATTTACCTGATCTCGCCCCGAGCTACTTCTTTGCTTTTCCTCTGATGAAAAAAATCCTCAAAGGAAAACATTTTGCCCATGTGAAGAGGTGAAACAAAAAAACAGCAGAAGCCTCAAAAGGCATCAAAATTGAATAGTTCAAAAACTGTTTTGAGCAGTGGAAAAACCATCTTGACAGGTGTATTGCATCTAATGGAGAGCACTTTGAAGGTGACTGAAGTTTAAACATGTAAGAACAAATACAAAATTTTTTTATAAATAAATTCTGCAGGGTTTTTTTTGGGTTTCCCTCATAATATTTATACACATAAAACATTGTATAACTTCAGGGGCTTTATGGATCCACACCCCCTCTGCCCTGCCCTAGGGGTCCACAGAACCTAGTTTAAGGACCCTGCCTTACTGTAGCAGCTATGCTGACTTTAGGGTGACTGGTCATCCCAGTTTGCCCAGGAGCAAATGGGTCTTTCAGTGCTGAAACTGGGAAAATCCTGGGAAACTGGGACAATTGGTCACCCCAGTTGGCTCCAAAAATTTCCTGAGGCTCCTTTTTTTAAGACTTTATTTATTTTTTTTTAGAGAAAGGGGAAGGGAGGAGTGAGACATCAAAGCGAGAAACATTGATCAGTCACCTCTTGTAGGTGCCCCCAAAAAAGGCACCCTGACCACAGACCAAACCCACAACCCAGGCACGTGCCCTGACTGGGAATCAAACCTGCAGCCTCTCTGGCTTTGCAGCATGATGCCCAACCAACTGAGCCATGCCCACCAGGGCCCTGAGGCTTTTGACAAGTACAACACATGTGCTTGGGAAAGACATGTTGGAGGCTTCCTTATACCTCATGACAGTTACTCTCAGCTGATGCAGTTTGTTGTCATGGAAGTCTAGGCACAGAGACAGGGAGGGACCTACTTAAAGCCACACAGCCAGCAGGTGACAAACATAGCCCGGGCTAAAACACAACTGCCTCAGCTCTTAGTGGATGCAGCACTTCCCTGACAAGCCACCCCTGTGCCCCTGGCATAGCCCTGGACAAAAGGTACTGCCGAACCCGGAACCCAGCCCTCCGCACCCAGCAGTTCCTGGAGCACCAGGCTCTCCCCAAACTGCAGGAGGCTCCTGTCATGCAGGTCAATGGCCCCGACCCATGCTCTCAAAAACAATATGGCGTCAGTTTAGGGGCTTCATGGGGTTCTAGCACCCAGGCAGAGAAGGGATGTTTTTGTTCCCATGAAAGTCTTTCTTACCTGCTTGCTGGTCCCTAAAAACTTTTTTTAAATATGGGACAATTAGATATTAAAGGCTTAACATGAATCCGGAAAGGGAAATGGATCGTGGTGATAGTTGTACAACATTGTGATGCACATTAACCACTGAATTGTACACCTAAAAATAGTGAATGTGGTAAACAAAGCAACAAACAAGGGAGGGAATGAGAGTGTTAATATAGACCTCTTTTTGCTGCTGTGATCTATTCCTATAATTATAATCAACATAATCACTCCAAGCATGAATTTTCTTTTTCTTCCAGGCCGGGCCATCTCCTTCGTGACTAAGAATTTCTTTTCCAAAGCCAATGGAAACAGAGGCAGTGCTCCCAACGTGGCCGTGGTGATGGTGGATGGCTGGCCCACCGACAAGGTGGAGGAGGCTTCGAGGCTCGCGAGAGAGTCAGGAATCAACATTTTCTTCATCACCATTGAAGGCGCCATTGAAAATGAGAAACAGTACGTGCCGGAGCCCAACTTTGCAAACAAGGTATGTAACTGCCCAGAGATCCACCCATCATAAGGATTCCTTGCACTTTGCAAAGCTGGAACAGCCATCCAGGCTGTGTCTTGTTCCTTCAAATGTGCATTCAGCTCACTTCGAGGCAGGAGGGCCTCCATTGAGGGACTAGCTCATCTGGAGCCTGGAATTATGCTCTCAAAGCAAAGCCCCACAGGCGGCTGGTATACGGAGGCCGGCACCAGCATCTTGGAAAGTGTCCCCAGGGGCTCACAAAGAGGCTCTGCCAGGCTCCTCCCACAGCACAAGGGATCTCAGGGAGCAGCCCAGCGAGCCCCAGCGAGCCTTCACACAAGCATGCACACAGGCGCCATACGCTAGCCCACGCATGAGTGTGCATGCATGCACACTGCAAATTAATCCTAATCCATCTGATAAACAGGGAAAGGGTGATATTGAGCCAGGTCAGGGAGATCTCAGGATTTCAAATGCTGCTCCTGGCCATCAGCTGTGACTGCCACACACGGGCCCTATCCCCCGCTACTGGTCTCCTGTTGGCATCCAGCACCAGCACTGTCTCCTGCCAGAACTTCAGTCAGTCGGCCTGGGGGGAACCCACCTCTCCATCCATCGGCTAGAATCCAGCTCAACCTCAAACCCTCACCTTGAATGTCACTTATTCCGTGGAAAGTTCTGTGAACCCAATTTAGGCTTTTATAAAACCAATTAAAAACATTTCATAAGACAGTTTTCAGTCATTTCTTGTTTTAAAATAAATTTTTAATTATACAAGTTCATCTGGCGCCATCATGTCTGTGATTCTCTCTGTGACCCCCTGGAGAGACAGGGGCGAGGAGGAGGTGCTCCATTTTGGGAACGTCAGCCTCGTCACTTCCAGGAGCACACAACCAGGTGGCTCAGTGCTTATTTGCAGCTGCATTACATTTTTTCTGGAACAAGCTTGGGCATAAGTAAATATTTCTTCGCCTGGAGGCAGGGTTGTCAGGAGGACAGTGATTGGGTTTTAAAGGCAGACAGACTTATGTTCCAGGCTCAGGGACTTGGGGATGTCCCTTCCCTGCGGGCCCTCCTTGGTTCATTCCTTCCTTTCAGGGGGGTTATAATACCAATTGGCAGGATGAGGGTGGGGGTTTCATGAGAGAATCTCTCCAAGAGCATGGACTGCAACACTTGACACATGGACTGCAATCCCCTTCTTACTGGGACAGGGCTGCTCTGGAGACTTTTCTTTAGCTATTTCTCATGTGTGTCTTGTTTTCCAAATCAGTTCAAAAGCATTATTTAATCCTCCCATGCACTGGTGCCCACCAGTGCCAATCTTATGGCCAGCTGCCAGCACAAATGAGCTGACGCATCTGCAGACATGAGACGTACGCAGCTGAAACCAGAGCTCCACCCCTCCCTTTGGATGTGCTTCATGGATGGCTCTCCTCTAAAGAGAGGCCCAGCTGAGGCAGTGAGAGTGAGTTCAAAGGTAATGGGAGGGGTCTCTACCCCAGCAAGTGCCAAACTGGGTGAACAGAGCTAGAGAAGAGCTTTAGGAGGACTAACTAGTGTAGAAAAAAGAGTCTGTCTGCTTCTGGCCCTGCCCTGGTGGTCAAGGGTAATTGTGACAGACTGGATAATTGAACCTCTGACCTGGCAGGTGTCCCTCTGCTCTGTCTTCCAGGCTGTGTGCAGAACAAATGGCTTCTACTCAATCAGTGTGCAGAACTGGTTCAGTCTCCACAAGACCGTGCAGCCCCTGGTGAAGCGGGTCTGTGACACCGACCGGCTGGCCTGCAGCAAGACCTGCTTCAACTCTGCCGACATTGGCTTTGTCATTGACGGTTCCAGCAGCGTGGGAACAGGCAACTTCCGCACAGTTCTCCAGTTTGTGGCCAACCTCAGCAAAGAGTTTGAGATTTCAGAGACGGACACGCGCATCGGGGCCGTGCAGTACACCTACGAGCAGCGGCTTGAGTTTGGGTTTGACATGTACAGCACCAAGCCTGACATCCTCAACGCCATCAAGACGGTGGGCTACTGGAGTGGTGGGACCAGCACGGGAGCCGCCATCAACTACGCCCTGGAACAGCTCTTCAAGAAGTCCAAGCCCAGCAAGAGAAAGTTAATGATCCTCATCACTGACGGGAAGTCCTATGATGACATCCGAATTCCAGCCATGGCTGCCCATCACAAGGGTAAGCTGGTCATACTGACCAGGCCGGTGCTGAGCATCCCTCTGTGGCTTGGTGGGTCGGTGGGATGAGGAAGGGGCCATGTTTTTATGCACTGCTTTTGTCTACCACTTAATAGAATGTTCAAAACCATAAGGAGGGCATAGGGGTGGAGTTAAGCACCGCAGGCCCCTCTGCCCAATGAAGAAGGAGTAAGGCAGGGTGCACAGAGGCAGTTCCTAGTGTCATGGAAAACCCAAGGCTGTGGACAGTGGGGAGCATCACCCCATCCTTTACGTCCTATACCCTGAGTCACTGCACAGGAAGGTGTGACACATGAAAAAGAAATTTGGCTCATTACTGTGATCATCATTGGAGACACCAGATTGTGTTAGAAACTTGAAGAAAACAAATGTTTTAAAAGAAAACTACTATTTTTGTAAGCAACTGCTAACCAGATGTTGGGGGTTTGGAGGAGACCACAAAGAAATTTCCATTCAAAAATTTAAAGAGTTATTTCCATATAAAAATTTGTATGAGGGCCACAGAAAGTTGAAAATCATGAAAAAATGAACAAAGTATTTCTGTAAATGTTTAGAAAATCAGTCACATCTAATACCTCTTTCACAGAATCTATGTATAATCACCATTTTGAAAATGATCATAAAATATCATAAAAATACAAACAAACGGAAGTAAACCAAAACCCCAAGTGACGGTAATAATAATAATGATGATAATAAAAGTAAACCAAGTGGTCAGTGAACAGCAAAGACCCACAGATAAAGACTAGTAAAGAGAACTCACTCATTGCAGGGGTTGCTTTCATTTGTCTTCTTTCTTCTTCTTAATATGCACTTGTTCACAGGATTTCCAATCTTCTTTAAAGCTGCTTTTAATCTTTTCTGAAACAAGGAGGGGTACAAATAACCAAGACCTAAAATGAACCAGCAGTTCTGACTTCTGGAAACCAAAGTAACCAGACCCCAGGTTTGGGCAGAGTCCTCCCATGATGTGCACCTGTGGAGCATACACAGAATGTGTAGGACGGTAGATGGCCCAGGTGCCAGCGGTCACACTACCCCTTGGGCTCACGTCAGCAGAGTGAAAATGGTTTAGGACGCAGAAGCAAGCTCACCCAAAGTTCCAAAGTGAGCGGACAGAGCCAAGGGGGCCAACCCTTGACTGCAAGTCCAGGGCTCTCCCGCTTTCTCCAAACACCTGTCCCCAGCTCACGCTCAGCTCCAGTCTCACTTATTTTTCTGTATGTACCTCTCTTGGGCCTCACCCTGAGGGTGGCCTTGGCCATCTCCTCATCAGATGTGCACACTTAGGGAGATGTCCTAGGAGCCAGGAGGGCTGTCACGTTCTGGGCAGCTCTACAGAACTAGGACCAATAGAAACAACTGACAGGGAGGCAATGGACACCGTGTCCTTGGGATCGTCCAAGCCAAAGCCGGGTGAACATCTGTAGTTAAGTGCCAGTTCAAGGTTCTTTCCTACGAGGGTGGGCTCAAGGATCCAAAAAACTAAATTTCTACGACAGTTTGCATTGTCTTTATTTGGGGGCAGGGCAGCCTTTTCTTCTTTGAGCAGCAATGAGGGCTTAGTCAGTTCAAGCCAGACCCATCCTCCAGCAAAGCTGACCCTCTCCCACTTTCCAGCATTTTAAAGCCCAATGCAGGCTGTTCCCAATGTAGACAATATTCAGAGAAGACACTGGAAAAGTAAGAAAAGAGATTGGCAGCTTAAATGAAGTTTAATAAGCCTTAGTTGAAAAGCAGCTTAGACCAGAACCATGTGAGGTGTGGATGGTTCTTTAATGAGCAGGACAGGGCACCCAGAAGTCTCTAGAGAGAGTGACATGAAGATAGTGACACTGTGGGCAGCTGGGGTAGCGATGCCTGGGCAGAAAGGCCATATATCTGGGCTCCGCCCTCTCTTTCATGACCATCTTACTCACCCAACTCTGTGGTATGGGAATACGCTTTCACAGAGTAAGGTCATGTACCTGGTGACCAGCTGCCTGCAGCCCAAATCAAGAAGCATACACCAGGCAGTCTCCTTGTTTTCCCTCTGAGAATAGACACCTTGACTCTGAATTTGTCCTCTGTTCCCTGGGGTATCTTGCTCCCTGTTGTAGTCCAACCCCCTTCATCCTGCCATATTCTCTCCTATTTGCATCTAGACATCCTCAAGTCTCTCCCTTCCTAAAAAATAAAACAATTTCCCTTGACTTCATGTTCTGCTCCAGCTACAGCTTGCCTCCTCCAATTTACAGCCACACTTCTGGAAGAATTAGTTATCTGTGCTGTCCCTATAGTGGCATTCCTTTTCCACCCTCAACTCACAGCAGTTCGTTTGGTTTCTTTGGCATCTACTCCCCTGAAATTGCTCTCACCAGGCGACCAATGTCCTGTTTTTGTGTTTTGTAAATCCAATGAGCACTTTTTTGTTTTCGTCCTGCATGACCTCCCTGCAGCATTCAACACTGTTGGCCATTTTCTTCTCTTGAAACCCTTTCCTCACAGCGGTGATGGAGCAGGTGCTGGCTCCTTTCGCGATGCTCCTGCAAGGGGAATGAGCTAGGAGTTTATGACTTGTAAAGTCCCCCTCAGGCAAACCTAGGGTGATTCAGTGCCATTTTAGTTAAAAAGATCTTGAACTGACTCTTTGATGCATTTAAGACTCTCTGAAATTTTGTTTGGCTCTACACACAGGTCAAGTAGAGTGCCATGTGGTATGATCTGCATGGCATCAAAAGTTTCACTTGTCCCCAAATATCCCCTCTGCAGTTCACAGTTATGAAATTCTGATCTTCTCTGTTTTGTGCCCTCAAGAGATTATAAATTCCTACGAGATAGCAACTATATCAGTTTTGTTACTGTTGGCATATAGCAGATGTTCATGCTTTCGGGCACATTTCTGATTTTGGATTTGGTTGCATTCAAACACAATAGCCAGCAGAGCAACAGGAAGGCAAGGATTCATTAGCAGTATCATTTCTTGGGCACATTTGCTTCATTGAAACTTTGTCCTCACAGGAGTGATCACCTATGCAATAGGCGTCGCCTGGGCTGCACAGGACGAGCTGGAAGTCATCGCCACTCACCCTGCCAGGGACCACGCCTTCTTCGTGGATGAGTTTGACAACCTCTACAGATTGGTCCCCAAAGTCATCCAGAATATTTGCACAGAGTTCAACTCGCAGCCTCGGAACTGAGTTCAGAGTAGGCAAATGCTGCTTTTCTGGAGACTCTCGGACAACCCCAGTGCTTATGGGCACATACAGGGCAGCAAGGCACATAGGGCTTGAGAAATGCTGTGTTGTTCTGATTCTTTGCCAGCGTGGGTTCTTCCTACTTCAAAACTTGGAGTTAGAGAGATGATCATAAGTGTGTAGAGTGAGCCAAAATGACACATCCTTTTGAAGGTGCTGAGGGTTTTACATTGTGACAACTGTTTTCAAAATAACAGAATAGAGTACAGCACTTATGACAGGCTGAACCAAAGCTTTTGTGAGGTTTTTAAAAAGTTTTTTACTTCTCATGAGAATTCTGTAACCCTCAACGAGTTTCATTTTTGTTATGACAATACAGGAATTGCTTAATGAAGTATTGACTACATGAAATCATTCTGTGTCATGGGTAGTGGTCACAGTATTTGTGGCAAGGCCACCCTCTGCTCTTCTCCTTCCCCAAAGACTTGCTATGCACTCGCTCCTGCCCCACGGTGACAACACACCCATGGGTGCAGAGAAACTGTGTTCCCACAACTCCCAGCTTTAGGATCAGTTGGGGAATAGCCCTGGAGAACCAAGCTGATCTGGCTTAAAAGCAGTACATTGAGCTGGTCCAGACACTCTCAGCCCACGATGTGTATTAGAATCACTTGGAGACTAAAATGCTGGTTCCCAGTCCCGGTCCCAACACCAGTGAAATCTGAGTCTCCAGGAATGGAGCCTGAATGCTGGCATGTTTGAGGCTGAAAAGCTGCCAGAATTGAAAACTACTGAGCTACCGCTGAGCAGTTGGTGTTACAGCTATTTCCTGAGACAGTCCCTGTTTGTGCCTGTTCTTCTGGGCTCCATCCAGCTTAGCACTTGTTCTGGATTTTTTCATTTGTTAAGTAGATATTATTATTAATGGTAGCATTAAAATAAGTTGGGATAGGTTTGGTTGAACTCCACATTTTTGCTTTCAGCTTCTGCCAAGCACTCATGAGTTAGGATGTAAAATCATGTGCAACCAGGAAACAATCAAAAGAATTGCAAATGGAGATGGCATTTGACAAGTTATGCTTCGTAAAAATGTGTGTTGAAAAATGCTACTCTGAATGGAGGCAAAAAGATAGTACCTGTGTAAATACCTAGGACAAAAGATTTACATAAAAACGTTTGAAGTTATCATCCATTTAGCAGAATTTGCATAAAGCTTAACAAATCTCTCGGTACCTGGAGAGTAGTATATCATCAATTTACAATGTAGGCTACAGAGAAGGCTCAATTAAAGGTGTCAGCAATTTCAAATTTATTAACCATTAATTTAACTTTAAAGGAAGTTGCAAACAAATATGTTCAAAAACTTCGAAATATAAAAACTATTTTCAAAAAGGAAATTCTTTGTAAAGCTACCAATGACACGCTAATAGTGACCAATTCAGCTAAGAAACTAAGTACTTGGGACAATTTTTCTGCCTATAATTTTCAATGTGTAGATAATCAATATAAAAGGAGTCTTTTCAATGTCACTCCAATTACACATACAAGTAATTTAATTTTTTAAGAAAAATTTTCTTTTAGAAAGTAGTTTTAGAATATTATTTTATAGGGGCCTTAGTATAAAAACCAATTTGTCATCAGTAAGTAAATATTTCCAAAAATAATATACTTTTAATTATTTTGGTATCCTCTTTCCTTCACAAAATTGTCCCAGTTTGGGAAATAAATTATATAGTCACCCTTTCATATAGAAATTATAATTTTGAAGATAAATGGAACCTCCTCAAATGGACCCACTGTCTCTATGTTGACAATAAATGTTTGCATGTGGAGGAAATCAGTATCAGAAATGAGGTGGCTAGATGCTCAGAGGCTACGGTGTCATCAGAATTGTCTATGGGGTGTTCAAGTCACAAGAGATGGTGGCAGGCATCAGGATGGAGAAAGAAATAGGGAACCAAGCTCTTGTATGTTCGGCAAATAAGAGAAGATGACTGGGAGGTCGGGAGAAGGCAGCAGTGACAGGGATTGAGGGCTGGGGCTAGACCTTCAATGAAGCGGGGCACTTTGAGGGAGGAAGAAAGGGAGCTTAGAGGAGCAATGGGGAGAACTGGGCATAGGTAGGCTTGTGCACGACCCAGGCAGCCGTGTTTCTGCCCCGCCAGGGTTGGGTTGGGAAATGCAAGAAGTAGGGGTGCCTTCCTTATGCCCAGACCTGAGCACTGTAATTTGGAAACCAGGCTTCGAGATATTCCCGAAGACACAGAGCCAATGCTCTAGTCTTACAAGATGCCAAGCGCAACCTGCTTGGGCCACATGACCCTAGTTTTGTTCAAGGCATGGGAGAGTAGATGTTGCCTAAACCTACATCTCTTCCTGGATAAGAAAAAAAGAAAAAGAAAAAAGAAAGAGAGCAATGGGGGCAAAGAGCAGACCTATCCCCATTCCAGACCTGAAACCCACGGGGTGAGAGAGCACAAGCCTACTCCACTCGGGAAGTTGCAGAAGACAACCAGGTTTCAGGTAAGTCAGGGCAAAAAAGGGTTGAGGCTTCTGGGAACTCGCTGACAACAGAGAACAGCTTTCCATGACATGATGGGAGGTCTAGGGTCGGGGTGGGGTTGGGTCAGGTCAGGGTTTGCACAGAGCAGTTTGGAGATAAAGGTCCTAGTGGTGATGAGTGACACGGGAACCTTGGATATAAATGCCCCCTTGCTTAACCTAAACTGTGCCCAACGCTGCTGGGGGAGTAGGGAGGCACTAAAATCTTACTGTAGAAATAGAACCTTAGAGACAATGTATGCCAAACCCTCCAATGGCTAAAAGGAAACCCGGGCCAGAAGTGGTTGTGCGGATAGGCAGGAGCAGAACTAGAATTCAGATCTCCTGTCTTCCGATCTACTGACTCACTTGACTGCCTTATAAGGTTTGAACACCCCCTACTCTTTCCCTTCCCTGTCCTACACACACACCTGGTGTGGCACACTCATAGACTCTGGTCCAGCCTGTGCAGAGCTCTCTGGGTCCTGCAGACTTGGAGCCAATCTCCTAGGGCAACTCTTTTCTGCTGTGGTCTCAGCAGAAAAGCTTTTCCACACCCTCTCCACACAAAGAGCACTGGTCTAGCGTCTCTTGGTGCATATAATGCCTAAACTCTACTCAACTGTTTCACCTCTCTGCAGTTAGGGCTCTTTTGCTAAACATTTTGCAACAAGTCTCTGCTAAGAATTTTCAGCCGCAATGGCAGGGTTCAGGTACTTCTTGTTTCTCTGGGCTCCTTATACCCCTTTGACCAGGACAAAAGTTCCATGAAGCCATGGGGGGCTGGCATGGGTTTATAAAGAAGACAGTGCTTCTAAACCCAAGGATTTTTCAGCCTCAAAGAGGAGTCTCCAAATTATAATGTTATTTTCTAGTCACAACCTGAAGAAAAGTTCTCCCCTTAGAATACCAACACATAGATGTAGTAAGTAGGAAGTATACTTGAAAGCATGAATTCAGTTACTTTGGAAAGAGACATTTATTCAACTAATGCCTTTGAGGGATTCACAGTTCAGTGGGAAACCACACACAAGTGAACAATTAAAACCATATAATTAATATCATGGGATTATGCACAAAGTGCATGACTGGCAATTGCAAACCACCTCATGAGAAATCAAACCATAATAGTGCCTAACAGTGAGTGTTTGCTGCATGCCAGGGCATTGTTCAAAGGGCTTCATGTGTATTAACTCATCCCTATGATTTGCTGAGAGAGTTATCATTATTATTTGCATTTTACAGATCATGTAACCAAAGCATGGAGATGTCAAGTAACTTGCCCAAGGTCATGGAGCTGGGAAAGGCAGATCTGGGAATTAAACAGAGCCAATCTGACTCCAGAGTCAATATACTTAACCACTTTGCTCCTTAAAATGGTGGCATATGAAATAACCAGAGTGGCTGAAGAGGGGGTTCTCTAATAAGCATGACAACTTAAAATATATGTGTAACTCTGCAAAATGTATTCTCAGGATCTATAAGATATATTAAGTCTATTAAATGTCCAGTGCAAACTGCACTTCCCCCAGCACTTCTCTTGATCACCTGGACAGCCATCCTTCCCTCACTTATGATGAGTGATTTTAATGAATAGTCTATAGTCTCTGATGCTCCCTGAACATGTTGGACTCCTCATCTGCTTGTTAAACTCCTTTTCAGCCTTCAAGTCTCAATCCAAATGCCACTCCCTCTCCAGAGCCCTTCCTGACCTGCTCAGATAGGCATAGGCTCTCTGGATACAGAATCCTGACCCACCTATTTTCTAGTGATCTTTTTAGTCCCTTCTCATTAGGGGACACAATCCATACATGTCATCAGGGACACAGAATACTAGGTCTAGTTCTGATTATGTCTAAGTCAGTGGCAACCCCCTAATACAATGGCACTGGTAAAATGGGAGGGAGAGATATTTCAGGAAGAGGGAAACAGGGTATGATGGCAAGAAAAAGGGAGGATCTAAGTCCATCCAGACTGTACCACTCTTTCAAATGCCCTTCTAACTGTATGTTCATAATGGTATGTTACAATCACTGTTTTCAGAAATAGAACCTTCTTCAAGTATCTATCCAAAGGGTAACTGTTCCTCACCCTCTCTCATTTTTCCTACAAAAACAACAATCCCATTTTTTGTTTACCTTCATGAGTTTTATTGAACAAACATGTTTTAAGCACTTATCATGTGCCAGGCATTGGGGCAAGCTCTAGGGTACAAAGATGAATAAAACCAGTCCCTGCCCAAGGAGCTGATATAGGAGAGACCTGCACAAACAGATAACATCTGACTATCATGTGATGGGTGACAGGCAAGCTTGGGAAGCCTTCCTGGGCCAGCTTTTGTCTGTTTTAGCCAGATGAAAAAAGATGGAAAAGTCCCAGCAGAGGGGATGCAGGGGACAAAGGCAAGGTGGCACAAAACAGGGTGATACACAGGAGGACAGCTTGCAACTTGAGGCAGAGGTATCAGGAAATGAAGCAGGAGAAAGGCAGGGGACAGGCCATGGCATGTTGCGTTGGTTAAAACTCTCTAGGTTGCAAGTAACAAAAACTCAATCCACAGTAGCTGAAGTAAAGGGGGAATTTTGGGATGGAAAGTGGAGTAACTCTTGAACTCCAAGGTCAGAGAGACAAGAGAATCAGCTAGCTCTCGTGCTACTCTCCACAATGATCTTCATCTGGGAATTGTTCAAGACGCCTGCAGAAGGAACAAAGTGAGACCCCACCCAGCAAGGACTGTGCCCACAATACAGCCTCCTTCCACAGGGCCACTAGCAAACCCCATCATTCTATCTTATCACCTTGCAATTAATAACTTTTTGAAATTCCTTGGAGCATCAAGTTGT